GACTGAGCAGCGAATCCTGAAGAAACGATCGGAAATAAAACTGTGTGTCGTTCATTTATTTGTTTTTCAAAATAAAACCAAAAATAAGAAAATGAAAAAGCAACTATTTTTTCATTATTTGTCTCCAAAACCAAAATGAAAAAAAAAGATAATGATTCATTTTTTCAGTTTTCGTTTTTTTGTGTTTACATGAAAAATGGAAAAAACAGATAACGGACTGAACCAGGACTGAAACCAGGACTGAACCAGGACTGAACCAGGACTGAACCAGGACTAAAACAGGTCCGGGATCAGACCAGGACCAGACGAGGAGTGAAAATGGTTCAGTCCTGGTTCAGTCCTGGTTCAGTCCTGGTTCAGTCCTGGTTCAGTCCTGGTTCAGTCCTGGTTTAGTCCTGGTTTAGTCCGTTATCTGTTTTTTCCATTTTTCATTTAAACACAAAATCAAAAACCAAAAAAACAATGTTGTGTTTAGTTTTTTCATTTTGGTTTTGGAGACAAATAATGAAGAAAACAGTTGTTTTCTCATTTTTGGTTTTAATTTTGAAATCAAATAAACGACTGAAACACGGATTGAGCTCCTTCAGGTTTTAAAATCAGACAAGACACAAAAACCTGATGAATTCTGTGTGGAAAGGCTCCAGAAACTTGAAGAAACATCAAACCGCCACTGGAGGAATCTGGCTTTTTAAACTCGTTCTGCTTTCAGACTCTCGGCGTCACCAGACGTTTTCATGAACTTCCTCGAGCTTCTCTTCTGATCTTCATGTTGGTTCAGATTTTTCCTCTGCACAGTTTTGGTTCCAAGTCCAAATTTGTTTTTCCAAATGTTGCGTTGAAGCTGCAGATTCAAAGACCTGGTTCAGTCTCTGGTCTTTTTCAGTCCTGGTTTACACCCGGTTTAGACCAGATTTAGTCCTGGTTTAGCTCTTGGTTTAGTCCCTGGTTCAGACCTGGTTTAGTCCCAGTTTAGTCCTTTACTAGTTTAGTCCTTTACTAGTCCTGGTTTAGTCCTTTACTAGTCCTGGTTTAGTCCCAGTTTAGTCCCGGTTTAGTCCCTTTTTAGTCCTGGTTTAATCCTTTTTTAGTCCGGGTTTAGTCCCAGTTTAGTCCCAGTTTAGACCCAGTTTAGACCCAGTTTAGTCCTTTTTTAGACCCGGTTTAGTCCTTTACTAGTCCTGGTTTAGACCCGGTTTAGACCCGGTTTAGTCCTTTACTAGTCCTGGTTTAGTCCCAGTTTAGTCCCGGTTTAGTCCCAGTTTAGTCCTGGTTTAGTCCCTTTTTAGTCCTGGTTTAATCCTTTTTTAGTCCGGGTTTAGTCCCAGTTTAGACCCGGTTTAGTCCTTTTTTAATCCTGGTTTAGACCCAGTTTAGTCCTTTTTTAGTCCTGGTTTAGACCCTGTTTAGATCCGGTTTAGTTTTTAGTCCCGGTTTAGTCCTTTTTTTAGTCCTGGTTTAGTCCTTTTTTAGTCCCTGGTTTAGTCCTTTTTTAGTCCTGGTTTAGTTCTTGGTTTAGTCCTGGTTCAGTCTCCACAGTGACTTGTTGCTGCAGTAAAAATGTTTTTTTTTTCTGACATTTTCAAACTTTGCTAAAGACACAAAATGATTCTGTTTGGGAGAGAAACACAACAAAAGTAAAACATTAAATCTAAAATCTAAAATCTGTTTCTAAACATTCTGTCAAAATCTGAGCTCGTTTCATCAAGAATCGTCCTGTGAAATGACGTCCACTTACATTTCTTCATCTTTCTCCCTCGTTACGTTGTTGTTCTGATCGTTTCATGAGCAGGAGGCGACTGTCACGGCGCTCTGAAGGGGGAGGGACTTAGCACAGAGAGCAAAAAGAGGCAGAGAGACACATGGAGATCTGAACATGTGAAGCGTTACAGCGAAAACCCCCGACAAGTGAAGAAAACTCCTCTTTAAGCTCCACATTTGAAGAGATTTCTTAACAAAAGCGAACGAGCCCAAACATTTTTAAAAAAAGAAAATATTTTATTGACGGAGAATCGGTCGGACGTTTCTGCACAGATCTAAAAACACTCACTTTAAATAACGTAAAGTTCAACTTCTGACGCCGTTTTCTGATCTGTCGTTGTGTTTTGTTTCATTATCGCACGTTTAAACTCTGCTCCACTGGGTTTTTAAACTCCACACACCTTCACAAAATAAATCATCTGGATCATTTCAGTCCTGGAGTCGCAGAAAAGTAAAAAGAAACACAACACAACTCCAGCTCTGATTTTGTGCCGTACAGAACATTTAAAACGAGCAAAGTCTGAAGAAACGAACGAAAAAAAGAAGAAACAGAAAATTCTCGTAAATGTTTGTGAAACGAAGCGGAAACAGTGAAGAGTTCAGAAGTAGAAGTAGAAGTAGAAGTAGAAGTAGAAGTAGAAGTAGAAGTAGAAGTGAGAGTGTGTGGATCTGCAGTTGAGCTTTGGACTCTTTAAATTGCTTTTTCAAAAATATTTGTCCAGCGTTTTCACAGAATCACAAATGAACAGAAGTGAAAGGAGAGAAAAGAGTTTGAGTTCGTTTCTTTTACAAACAAAACTTCATGTGTAACTGAATAAACGTGAGACAGACACGGTTAAACAGGAGCTTTTACACCAACATTTACAATAAAACTCCCGTCTGAGGAGGTTCGAGCGTCGTCCACGCGTCAGGGTTTCCACTTCTTCACTGACAATATTTTGTTTTCATGAGTCAAAGTGAATTTTCCAGGACTTTCCAGGACTTTCCAGCACCGACGTGTGTAGAACTGATCATTTTAAATCCTGTCAGTCTCTTTTAAACTAAAGACTCAGACGTTCAGTGTGTCGTTTGTTCATTCGTTTTTCATAAATAAAATCAAAAATAATAATAATAAAAAAAAAAAAAAGCGATTTTCTTCATTTGTCGTCTCCAAAACTAAAATGAAAAAACAAACAAAAAAAAAAACAGATAAAGGTCGTTTCCCGTTTGACTTAAACTGTGATGCCAGATAAAACCAGAACTAAACCAGAACTAAACCAGGACTGAACCAGGACTAAACCAGGACTAAACCAGGACTAAACCAGGACTAAACCAGGACTAAACCAGGACTAAACCAGGACTAAACCAGGACTAAACCAGGACTGAACCAGGACTAAACCAGGACTGACCACTAAACCAGGACTAAACCAGACTAAACCAGGACTGAACCAGGACTGAACCAGACTAAACCAGGACTAAACCAGGACTAAACCAGGACTAAACCAGGACTAACCAGGACTGAACCAGGACTAAACCAGGACTAAACCAGGACTAAACCAGGACTAAACCAGGACTAACCAGGACTGAACCAGGACTAAACCAGGACTGAACCAGGACTAAACCAGGACTGAACCAGGACTAAACCAGGACTGAACCAGGACTAAACCAGGACTGAACCAGGACTAAACCAGGACTAAACCAGGACTAAACCAGGACTGAACCAGGACTAAACCAGGACTGAACCAGGACTAAACCAGGACTGAACCAGGACTAAACCAGGACTAAACCAGAACTAAACCAGGACTGAACCAGAACTAAACCAGGACTAAACCAGGACTAAACCAGGACTAAACCAGGACTAAACCAGGACTAAACCAGGACTGAACCAGAACTAAACCAGGACTAAACCAGGACTAAACCAGGACTAAACCAGAACTAAACCAGGACTAAACCAGGACTAAACCAGGACTAAACCAGGACTAAACCAGGACTAAACCAGGACTGAACCAGGACTAAACCAGGACTGAACCAGGACTAAACCAGGACTAAACCAGGACTGAACCAGAACTAAACCAGGACTAAACCAGGACTAAACCAGGACTAAACCAGAATTAAACCAGGACTAAACCGGTCTCAGTCCTAGTCTGGTCCCAGTCTCAGTCCTGATCACCCGTCGTGGGTGCACCTCCAGGCCTGTGCCGACAATCCTGGTTTAGGACTGAGACCAGGACCAGACCGGGACCAGATCAGGACTGAGGACCAGACTGAGACCAGGACCAGATCAGGACTGAGGACCAGACTGAGACCAGGACCAGATCAGGACACAGAGGAGCAGAGTTAAACGTGTGAGAATGAAACAAAAAAACTCCAGAATCGGGACCGAGACTGGGGCCAGACCAAGACCAGACCGAGACTGGGGCCAGACCAAGACCAGACCAGGACTGAGCCCGGTTTAAGTCACGGAAACATCTGTTTTCCGTGACTTAAACAAAATCAAAAACTGAAAAAAACAAATCATGATCTGTTTTTTCATTTTGGTTTTGGAGACAAATAATGAAGAAAATTCGCTGCTTTTTCCATTTTCTTATTTTTGGTTTTATTTTGAAAAACGGATGAACGAACGACACACAGATTCATCCCGTGAGTTTAGTCGAGTGTGTGACTCACGCTGGTCGTCGTTTTCCTGTAAGTTTTCGTCTTTCTTCCGTTGACATTTACAGAAACACTTTGACACAGAAAAATAAGTTTAGTTTAGTTTCCCCGACATCGTGAAAAAGCTCAATTCTCCACAAATCCACAAAAAACGCGACAAAAAACTGAACACGGCAGCGTCACAAACCCTGATGTGACGCGCAGGAGTTTCGCTGAGCTGCTGTTTTAGCGCTCTGAAGGGGGAGAGACTTAGAGCAAAGAGCAAAACTTATAAAATAAAACACGTGAATAAGTCGTTTTTAAGCGCATAGAACATTTTCAAAACAATAAAAGTGAACTCTGATCTAAAGATGAGACGTGCTACGGTTAAAACCCCAGAGTCACACACCGCCTCTTTAAAGTCACACTGCGGAACATTCCAGGCAAAGCAAAACTATCTCCATGGCAACAAACGGGCGGAGGGCTGAGAAAAGTTCCATAGTGCGTCTTAAAAATACCATTGACTTCCACTCATTTTCTCATTTTTAAAAAGCAAAAAAAAAACCTCCCAGATATTTTAGATTTTCAAAAACTTAAACCCAAATTTTTTTAAACTTTTAACACTTCTGCTGTTACATACTTATTACACCTTTATTACATCTTTATTACATAGTTATTACTGTAAACTTTGCGTTGAAACGGAGCTTATTGGACGCACAAACCTGGATTGTTCTAACAGTTTTAGACCGTTTTTCGCCAATTTTCTTTCAAATTTTGACAAACGAATCAATTCTGAACCAAATGTCAAAGCTGTTTATGTTGTTTATTTTTTTATTTTACCTTAAATATTTACACATTTTGGACAAACTAAATGTAAAACTTTTCAAATAAGGCATGCTGTGTGACCACGTTTGGCAAAAGTTTCAAATTTTGGAAAGTTTAAAGGTAAATTTGGGCATTTTTGGGGTGAAATTGTGTTTAAAATTGTAGGCGGTCATGTTTGTAGTCCTTTAGCTGGTCGGCCATGTTTGTAGTCCCCCTGAACGGTTTCAAACGGCTCTTTCTTTGTGTGATTGTTTCGTAAATGGCGGACTGAAGCGTTTTGTAGTCCTGGCTGAATTGTCTGTGGGTGTGAGTGTCGGCCATGTTTGTAGTCCTTGGTGCGACAGAGGTGTTGGGTGTTAAATGTTGGACAGACGGCGCCCTCTTGTGGCTCCTAAAGATGCTCGCAGCCTCGGCTCTCGGGCTCTGAGGACCAAGAGGGAAAAAGAAGGAATCAACAGTTTTATTTGCTAAAAAAATAAGTTAAAAAAACAGTAAAATGTTTAAAAGGAAAATCTATGGAAGTGTAGAGTTTAATGCAGTTTTAAAATCCAGTTTTTGGGTGAATTTTGCTTTTGTTTTTGTAGATTTGTACATTTATTTTTGGTGCATTTTCAGCAGATTTATACTGATATTTTTGGAGGATTTTCTGTAAACTTGTACACATATTTTTGGTGAATTTTTAGTAGATTTGTACATTTATTTTTGGTGTATTTCAATTTTTTTTGTACATATATTTTTGCTGTATTTTCTGTAGATTTGTAAACATTTATTTTGTGTATTTTCAGTTTTTTGCACACATATTTTGATGTATTTTCAGTAGATTTATACACATATTTTTGGTGTATTTTCAGTACATTTATAAATATATTTTTGATGTATTTTCAGGAGATTTATTCATATATTCTGATATATTTACACATATATTTCTTGCATATTTATATATATTTGTACCTGTAGTGTTTGTTGAAGTTGAGTCCGTGTTTATTCATATACTTCAGGAGTATTTAGAGTTTAAATATTAGAGTATAAGTAGATATTTGTTGTATATATTTGTACCTGTAGTGTTCGTTGAAGTGGAGTCTGTGTTTTATTGTGTATTTTAAGAGTATTTGGAGTAAAAGTATGAGAGTATAAGTAGATATTTGTACCTGTAGTGTTCGTTGAAGTGGAGTCTATGTTTTATTGTGTATTTTAAGAGTATTTAGAGTAAAAGTATGAGAGTAGATATTTGTTAGTGTTCGTTGAAGTGGAGTCTATGTTTTATTGTGTATTTTAAGAGTATTTGGAGTAAAAGTATGAGAGTATAAGTATATATTGTACCTGTAGTGTTCGTTGAAGTGGAGTCTGTGTTTTATTGTGTATTTTAAGAGTATTTAGAGTAAAAGTATGAGAGTATAAGTAGATATTTGTACCTGTAGTGTTCGTTGAAGTGGAGTCTGTGTTTTATTGTGTATTTTAAGAGTATTTAGAGTAAAAGTATGAGAGTATAAGTAGATATTTGTACCTGTAGTGTTCGTTGAAGTCGAGTCTGAAGCTGAGGAAGCGCAAACTCTCGTCTGGACTCGTCATGAGAAGAACCAGGAACTGCTGCACGATGCTCTGGAACAAACAAACAAACAAACAAACAAACAAACAAACAGATGAAAGATCAAATACAAATGTCTCTGCCAAAGAATAGTTTGTAGTTTGTAGTTTGTAGTTTGTAGTTTGTAGTTTGTAGTTCAGTTTGTAGTTTGTAGTTCAGTTTGTCAGTTTGTAGTTTGTAGTTTGTAGTTTGTAGTTCAGTTTGTAGTTTGTAGTTTGTAGTTCAGTTTGTAGTTTGTAGTTCAGTTTTTAGTTTGTAGTTCAGTTTGTAGTTTGTAGTTCAGTTTGTAGTTTTAGTTTGTAGTTCAGTTTGTAGTTTGTAGTTTGTAGTTTTAGTTTGTAGTTTGTAGTTTGTAGTTTGTAGTTTCAGTTTGTAGTTTGTAGTTAGTTTGTAGTTTGTAGTTCAGTTTGTAGTTCAGTTTGTAGTTTGTAGTTCAGTTTGTAGTTCAGTTTGTAGTTCAGTTTTGTAGTCAGTTTGTAGTAGTTTTGTAGTTTGTAGTTCAGTTTAGTGTAGTTTTCAGTTTTGTAGTTTCAGTTTGTAGTTTGTAGTTCAGTTTGTAGTTTGTAGTTCAGTGTAGTTTGTAGTTTGTAGTTTGTAGTTCAGTTTGTAGTTTGTAGTTCAGTTTGTAGTTTGTAGTTCAGTTGTAGTTCAGTTTGTAGTTTGCAGTTTGTAGTTTCAGTTTGTAGTTTGTAGTTCAGTTTGCAGTTTCAGTTTGTAGTTCAGTTTGTAGTTCAGTTTGTAGTTCAGTTTGTAGTTCAGTTTGTAGTTTGTAGTTTCAGTTTGTAGTTTGTAGTTCAGTTTGTAGTTCAGTTTGTAGTTTCAGTTGTAGTTAGTTCAGTTTGTAGTTTGTAGTTCAGTTTGTAGTTCAGTTTGTAGTTTGTAGTTTCAGTTTGCAGTTTCTAGTTGTAGTTTCAGTTTGTTAGTTTAGTTTTGTAGTTCAGTTTGTAGTTTGTAGTTTGTAGTTTGCAGTTTGCAGTTTGCAGTTTGTAGTTTGCAGTAGTTTGTAGTTTGTAGTTTGTAGTTTGCAGTTGTACCTGGTAGAGGTGAGTGAGGATCCGGAGTTGGGAGCTCATCTTTGGAATGTTCTTCTGGAAATCCTGGACCCTCCTCTGCTCCTCGGCCTCCTGCTCGACCGTCACCCCCCACTCCCCCTACGCACAAACACACACTTATATATACACACAAACACACACTTATATATACACACAAACACACACTTATATATACACACACAAACACACACTTATATATACACACAAACACACACTTATATATACACACAAACACACACTTATATATACACACAAACACACACTTATATATACACACAAACACACACTTATATATACACACAAAACACACACTTATATATACACACAAACACACACTTATATATACACACACAAACACACACTTATATATACACACAAACACACACTTATATATACACCAAAACACACACTTATATATACACACAAACACACACTTATATATACACACAAACACACACTTATATACACACCAAAACACACACTTATATATACACACAAACACACACTTATATATACACACAAACACACACTTATATATACACACCAAAACACACACTTATATTACACCAAAACACACACTATACATACACCAAAACACACACTTATACATACACCAAAAACACACACTTATATATACACCAAAACACACACTTATATAACACAAAACACACACTTATATACACCAAAACACACACTTATATATACACCACACAAAACACACACTTATATATACACCAAAACACACACTTATACATACACCAAAACACACACTTATACACACAAACCACACACTATATATACACCAAACACACACTTATATATACACACCAAAACACACACTTATATATACACACCAAAACACACACTTATATATACCACACACCAAAACACACACTTATATATACACACACCAAAACACACACACTTATATACACACAAACACACACTTATACACACACCAACAAACACACACTTATATATACACACACAAAACACACACTTATATATACACACCAAAACACACACTTACATATATATACACCAAAACACACACTTATACTATATATACACCAAAACACACACTTATATATACACACTATATAAAACACACACTTATATATACACCAAACACACACTTATACATACACCAAACACACACTTATATATACACACAAACACACACTTATATATACACCAAAACACACACTTATATATACACACAAACACACACTTATATATACACACAAACACACACTTATATATACACCAAAACACACACTTATATATACACCAAAACACACACTTATATATACACCAAAACACACACTTATATATACACACAAACACACACTTATATATACACCAAAACACACACTTATATATACACCAAAACACACACTTATATATACACCAAAACACACACTTATATATACACCAAAACACACACTTATATATACACCAAACACACACTTATATATATACACCAAAACACACACTATATATACACAAAACACACACTTATATATACACACAAACACACACTTATATATACACACATACACAAAACACACTATAATACACAAACACACACTATATATATACACCAAAACACACACTTATATATACACACAAACACACACTTATATATACACCAAAAACACACTTATATATCACACAAACACACACTTATAATATACACACAAACACACCACTTATATAATACACCAAAACACACACTATATACTTATATATACACCAAAACACACACTTATATATACACCAAAACACACACTTATACATACACCAAACACACACTTATATATACACCAAAACACACACTTATAATACAATATAACAACACAACAACACTATACACACACAAACACACACTTATATATACACACCAAAACACACACTTATATACACACCAAAACACACCTATAACAAAAACCACACTTATACATACACCAAAACACACACTTATATATACACACCAAACACACACTTATATATACACCAAAACACACTTATATATACACCAAAACACACACTTATACATACACAAACACACACTATATTATACACAAAACACACACTTTATATATACACAAAACACACTTATATATACACAAACACACACTTATATATACACACAAAACACACACTTATATATACACCACACCACTTATATATACACACAAAACACACACTTATATATACCACCAAAACACACACTTATACATACACCAAAACACACACTTATACATACACCAAAACACACACTTATACTCACCAAAACACACACTTAACATACACCAAAACACACACACTATACACCAAACACACACTTATATATACACCAAACACACACTTATATATACACACAAACACACACTTATATATACACCAAAACACACACTTATATATACACCAAAACACACACTTATATATACACACAAACACACACTTATATATACACACAAACACACACTTATATATACACACAAACACACACTTATATATACACACAAACACACACTTATATACACACAACACACACTTATATACACACAAACACACTTATAATCACACTTATATACACACTTATATACACCAAAACACACACTTATATATACACAAAACACACACTTATATTATATAACACCAAACACACACTTATATATACACCAACACATAACACACTTATATATAACCAAAACACACTTATATATACACCCTCTCTCTCTCTCTTCTTCCTCTTACCTCCTCCTCTCTCTCTCTGTCTCTCTCTCTGTCTCTCTGTCTCTCTCTCTCTGTCTCTCTCTCTCTGTCTCTCTCTCTCTCTCTCTCTCTCTGTCTCTCTCTCTCTCCTCTCTCTCTCTGTCTCTCTCTCTCTCTCTCTCTCTCTTCTCTTACCTCCTCCTCTCTCTTCTTCTTCTTGTCGTCGTACTGGAGCCTCAGACTCAGTTCTTCTAGAGCAGACCTGTACAGTGAGTCTTGGGCGTTCTGGAACTCGATGATCTGATCGAAGATGGACCTGAGCTGATGCAGCAGAGACTGAAACAACAAAAAAAGAATAAAAATAAATAAATAAAAATAAAAATAAACATTCAACTCAGCACAGGACTCGGACATCTACAGAACTCCACCAGAGAGTCACGGATTATAAAGAAATCTCCAAACTTCTGGCCCACACATGTTGAACCTTCTCGTTCTTGAGCCCGGAGCTTTGACCCTCTGATGTTCTGTGGTTTCTAGAGACTTGGAGAAGTTCTCACCCTGCTGTTGTTGTCCAGTAAACAGCGGCTGATCACAGAGTCCAGAAACGCCTCGTGAGCCGCGATGATGTGGTCCAGGTCCTGAGCTCGCTGCACTTTGTTCCACAGCTCGTCCCAGGAACACTCCAGAACCTGAAACCAAACACAAACACGAGGATTTACTCAAGAAATATATAAACTCTAATCTTAAACACAAACAAAAAGAGAAAACTTAAAAATAAAAGTTTAAAGTTTCTCAAACGTGACTCAGTCCAAATAAACCTGAGGGTCAGAGAGAAGAAACATCTAGAACAGTTTTAAATTTAAACTGTGTGTGTGTGTGTGTGTGTGTGTGTGTGTGTCTGTGTCCTGTGTGTGTGTGCGCGTGTGTGTGCGTGTGTGTGCGTGCGTCCAGTAGGGGGCAGACGTGAGCCGTGTCCTTGTGTCTGTTGTTTTATTGGAGCTAAAATAGAAACAGCAGCAAAAAGATTTATGTCCAATTAAAGACGAACTCAGCAAAAAGCAACAGAGCAAAAGAGTCAGGGACAGGGACAGGGACAGGGACAGGGCAGGGCAGGGGCAGGGACAGGGGCAGGGGCAGGGCAGGGACAGGGGGGACAGGGGCAGGGACAGGGGCAGGGGCAGGGACAGGGACGGGGCAGGACAGGGGACAGGGCAGGGGCAGGGAGGGACAGGGACAGGGACAGGGGCAGGGGCAGGGGCAGGGCAGGGACAGGGACAGGACGGGCAGGGACAGGAGCGGAGCGGGAAGGACAGGACAGGCAGACAGGGGCAGGGCCACAAGCGAAGGAGGGTTGGGTGGAATCCAGGTCTCCACAAGTCAAGGTGCAGGTTGCATGGGCTTGTGTGTCAGTGTCTCTCCCCCTGACCAAGCTCTCGTGTTGGGTCAGTTGCGGTGGAGGATGAACAGGCCCTGCTCTTCCTCTGCGGTCTCTGACTCTGAGGAGCTCATGTATGTATGTACAGCCCCGTAACCAAGACTTGCCCGCGCTCGCACTTCCTGCCAAGTCTGTTCGTCTTGTGAAAACTCATTCCTGTTCATCGTTCATCCTGGTTCAGATTCCTTTCAGTCCTTGTGCCCAGCCTTTTAGCTCCTGGATTCAGTCCTGGTTCGAGCCTGGTCAGTCCTGCGATGTCAGTCCAGGTTCAGTCCTGTTAGTCCTGTTATCTGTTCGTCCTGTACATCCTGTTGTCCGTCTGCCCTGTGTGTCGTTGCCGTTACTCCTCGTCAGCTTCCATTCATCACCACAGGTTTTCCTGTCCTGAATCGCGCCACCCCCGCGCCCTTTCCCGCTCTTTTTCTTTGAGGTTTTTCTAGATCATATTGTTATTTAAAAACTCACGGGTGACAAACGATCCACTGGGGCAGGGGTCAGAAGTCAACCCTGTTAAGTCACACCACGCAAACGTCCATAGAGAAGTAACGATGGATGGGGGCGGTCGACCTCGTTGGAGCTGGGCTGAGATGTAAAGGAAAGAAGACCCGTGTGGGCGAATTGCGGCGTCGACCGCCAGCCCCTGGTCTGACCGGTCTACGCTGGTGCGGCCGTCACGCCGTTGCCGTTCCACCTGGTATCCGTGCTCACCTGGTCCGTCCAGCCTTGTGTGTCTTGCACCGTGTCCGTCTCCAGCTGTCCGGTGCGTCACCTGTCTGTCTCACCTGATCTGCTCACCTGGTCCCGTCTCACCTTGTCCGTCTATCACTGTCTGTCTCACTGTCCGTCTGACCGTCCGTCTCACCTGTGTGTCTCACCTGTCAGTCGTCACTGCCAGTTCTACGTTCAGTCTAGTACTCACCTGTCCAGTTCACCTGTCAGTCTCACCGTCCGTTCTCACCTGTCCGTCTGACCTGTACCGTCTCACGTCTGTCTCAGCCTGTCCCCGTCTTCACCTGTTCAGTCTCATCTCTGACCGTTCTCCTGTCAGTGCTTCACCTGTCAGTTCACCTGTCCTGTTCTCACTGTCCGCTGACCTGTCCGTTCACTGTCGTCTCACCTGTCGTCTGTCAGTCTGTTGCCGGTCTGACCTGTCGCGTCACCTTGTCGTCTACCTGTCAGTCTCACCTGTCAGTCTCACCTGCCTGTCTCACCTGTCCGTCTCACCTGTCTCACCTGTCCGTCTCACCTGTCTCACCTGTCTGTCTCACCTGTGTGTGTGGGTGTGTGCAGGTCGTAAAGGCGGGGAGTTGGCGTCCGCGGTCCATGCGTACGGTAAAACGGGCGACCCTCAGATGAGAGCTCTGATCCAACACATCCTCAGTCTGGTGTCTCACCCCATCCTCCACTGTCTGTGCCGCTGGATCTACGACGGAGAACTGGAGGACACCTACCACGAGGTACTATATACTACTACTACTACTACAGTACTACTACTACCACCACCACGACATACTACTACTACTACTACTACTACTACTACTACAATCCTCCACTGTCTGTGCCGCTGGATCTACGACGGAGAACTGGAGGACACCTACCACGAGGTACTTATACTACTACTACTATATACACTACTACTACTACACTACTACTAACTACTACCACTACTACTAACTACTACACTACTACTACTATCCCATCCACTGTCTGTGCCGCTGGATCTACGACGAGAACTGAGGGAACACCTACACAAAGTTTTTTTTTTCTGGTTTAGTCCTGGTTTAGTCCTGTTTTTAGACCTGTTTAAGTCCTGTTAGTCCTGGTTTAGTCCGGTTTAGTCCGGTTAGTCCTGGTTCCTGGTTTCAGTCCTGGTTTAGTCCTGTTTTTTTAGTCCTGGTTTAGTCCTGGTTTTTTAGTCCTGGTTCATCCCTGGTTTAGTCCTGGTTTTCCTGGTTTAGTCCTGGTTTGTTTAGTCCTGGGTTTAGTTTTGTCCTGGTTAGTCCTGTTGTTTAGTCCTGTTAGTTTAGTCTGGTTTTAGTCTGTCCTGTTTTTGTTAGTCCTGCGTTTAGTCCTGGTTTAGTCCTCAGTTTTTAGTCCTGTTTTTTCTCTGTGTTTCCAGTTTTCGGGCCTCGAGATCCAAACGTAAAAACCGATCGACTTGTCACGACAAATTTCCCTGGGAAGTCGATGATTCCCTTATCACCATGGACCAGGCGCGGAAGGACCGGCCTCTGCTGGCTAAAGTGCACGCGGGGCTTTTCTCTCACCGCTTCGTCCACACTTCTGCTTCACTCTGGGTGTGTGTCGTCCAGGTTCCTCATCGGTAAATCCATAAACTTCCTGACCAGGTTTGTCACGACAGAACTCCTCTGAGATCACGCGGTCTCCAAAACGGCGGAAAAACCCCAAAGACGGTACGAACTTTGACCTTTAAAGAGCGAACGTCGGGCTCAGGATTTCCCTTCTGACTCAGTTTGGTGGAAAGTCCCGTGGGCGATGTGAAAGTTAAAGTTTTACATCAGATCTGTGGCACTTGTGGAAAAAAGTCGAGAAGAAAAATCCCAAAACACAGGAATGCAGTTAGTCGTTTATTCTGTCGTTTTGCAGCTCAACAAACAAAAACCAAACAAAACAGAGACCGAAAGATTGACCGAAGGAGACTAAAACTTCTTCAAACGCCAAAACCTTTTAAACAATGAGAATTCCAGAAAAGCAGCGTCTGAACAACAAGTTGAGTTTACAGTTGCACTATGACGTGTGTTATGGACCAGACCCACAGTGTCAGGATTTGATCAGGTTTATGGTTTTATTGTTTTACTAGAGCGCCCAAACGCAAAAAGAACCACGATACTAAGAGGAACAACGCACGAGACCAACGGACCAACGTGACCAACTGACCAACGTGACCCGACCCAGAGTCCTGCACCTGCCCGACCGTTACGTCCCCTGTTACTGCTCATGCCCATGATGACCCAGGACTGACCCATGATGACCCAGACTGACCCAGGACTGACCCAAGATGACCCAGACCCAGGACCCAGGACTGACCCAGGACCAGGACTGACCAGACTGACCCAGGACTGACCCAGGACTTGCCCCGTGTAGACCGCGGGTTTCGGGTGAAAGGCCGCTGCGGAGCTTCTACCGACTCTGACCCGACAGACCGGAGGGACCTCTGACCCGCCCGGAGCGGGACTCTGACCCGACCCGGAACTCTGACCCGACCCCGGAGCGAGACTCTGACCCGACCCGGAGGAGGCGGACCTGACCTGACCGGACGAGCTCTGCGAAACAAGGAAACAACAGTTTTTCTCACACATGAGTTTATGGAAAGACTCATTGTTCAGTTTCGTCTGAAAACGTAAATTATGACTGAAGTGAGTCTGATGTTCACTCTGACTGCCAGGAGCAGACCTTCTCACTTCACCACGTCACTGGTCTTGCCGCCCGGGAAAAACAAACACTGATCAAACTGTTTTCCCATGTTGCCCGTGCCTCATGTGCTGAACCATCAGAATATTTTTAACAGAAAACGTTTACGTGATTGGGAATAAATTAATTCGCTTAAATCAGAATAACCCCCACACTTTGGATTAAGTTTACTTCTGAATAATCATAGGAATCAGTTTTACCTGTCTTTTTAAAACTGAATATTTTATTCTGAATAAATATTTTAATCAATTAAAGCTCGGGGCAAAAAAACTTACCAAAAAAAAAACAAACAAACCGTAACGACACATTAAATAAACGTGTGTAGAGGACTTCGTGATGTTAAGCGAGTTCTAAGCGTCATCTGCACACGCTCTCCGTCCATATTAAACCTGATGCCCCCCGGACGCTCTGACATGCACATATTGATGGGATAAAATTTCCCCTCTCCGCCGCAAACTCGAAGGCCAGGGACGAGAGAAAAGAGAAAGAGGGAAGAAGAGCATTTTGGGTCGATGCCTTTCTGCTTTACACAGAAGGACGTTCCATGCGCGCACGACTAATGCAGCGGCTCGGTCTATAAATGGAACCGACGACGCTAAAAATACAGCCACAAATCCACGGCAGAAGACGATTGGTTTTAGATTCATCTCGCCGGACTTAAAAAGTGTACGTAATATGTGCTCGTCAGGGTCAGATTCACGAGGGCCGAGTCAACTGGCCGTCTAGTCCTGTCATCCTTTGTCTAAACCGTTTGCTTCTGTTTACTACGGTCCTCAACGATTTCTGATCCACGATGAAAATAAAACGCTCTTCTCAGACGCCCGTATTTTCATGCTTCTTTGATTCCAGTGCAGTCTAAACCAGATGGTCCAGGTCCTAAACCAGGCTAAACCAGGTCTAAACCAGTCTAAACCAGGTCTTGCCTATTTAGTCCGTCTCTTATACTTTTCTACATTCAGGAAAATCTAAAGTTTCTCTGCCTGAAAATGGACTTTTAGGATCCAGACCTGCTCAGACGGTTCTGGACTAAACCGACTAAACCGACTAAACCAGGACTAAACCAGGACAACCAGGACCAAACCAGACAACAGACCAAGGACTAAATGACAAAAAAAACTGACTAACTTACTAACGTCAGAATAACCAGAGTAAATCTTGGACTGGACTTCGGACTTGGACTTGGACTTCGGACCTTCGGACTTCGACTGACTTGGCCCCTGACAAACCAGGACTACTCTACCGCGCTTGCTTCGCATTTGTCTTAATGTCTTATGAAGAAGTTCTACGTCCTTTTTTTCGTAGATCCACATCCGTCACCATGTCCCTGCTCTCACCATTCTCCGTGCTGAACCCTGTGGAACTTGTCCTCAGGACTGGGTTCAGTCTATTTCATGTCATGTCATGTCATGTTCATGTTGTTTTGTGCAGCTCAGAGCGCCTGTCACCTGGAGGGGGCGTTCGGAGAAGATCACGCGCTATTCGACAGCAATATCTGCTGGTCGAACAAACACTCCTGGAACATCTCAGCCATGATAATACGCCCTGGACAAGGAGACTCATCAACACCTCATGACTAGCCATACGAACCGGGTTTCAACCGTTCCGTACCATGTTCAACCGGTTCAGACCGGTCAGACGTCACCGGTTCAATGGTTCAGACCGTTCCCTCAGGACCTGGTTCAACCGTTCTGACTGTTGATGGTTAAACAGTTTTAGCAG